TCCCGCGCCGGCAAGTTCCATGTCCGCGGGCCACCCTGGTTCTCCGCGGCAGCCTTGCAAGGCCCCCGCCTGATGTCCCCCGGGTATCGCGGAGTCTTTGGCCGAGACGCCGCCTCTCCTGCTTTGAAAGCGGCCTGGACGCGCTCCGTCCCGCCTGTGTTCTCGGTGCGCGGAGACGAAGGACGAAGCGCGCTCGCCCTCCTCGAGCCGAGCGGACGGACGGTGACGATCTCGGGCTGACAGATCCCCTCTCTGGTTGCCTTTGGCCTAGTCCGCGTGGCGCCCTCCTCTTGAGCTGCTGGCGTGGGCACGTGGTCCCTCTGTCCCCGAGATGCCGTAGCCTCCCGTCTCCCCTCAGACAGAGGGTGTGTTTGCGTGAGCTCGGTGTTGGCGAGCGCGAGTGCGTCCCGGGCACTGGGGCGATGCCTCGCCCCGCCCTGGGGGACCGTCCCCACCGACCCGTCTCTGGCCCTGTGGGTGGCCGTCTGCCTCGGGCCGCTCTCGCCCACGTCCCCGGCCCTCCCCGTCTCCCCCGTCGCCCCCACAGCCCACCCTGCAGGGCTCTGTAACCTGGCCCAGCTGCGAGCCGGGCCCCCGCGCCCCTACCCTGTAGCTCGCTTCACCCCTCATCCTCGTGAGGGGACGGGGTGGGGGGCTGCAGGTGTCATCCGGTCACCCTTGGGGGAACCTCAAAGGGGGGGAACCTTTGGGGCGCTGAACAGCATCTGCCTGCTGCTCCCTCTGCAAGCCCCTCCCCCTCACTGGGGTGCACGGTGGCCCCTCCACCCCCGCCCTCCGTGAGCCCGGCCGGGCCTCTGCTGCCGGTTTGGGGGCACTCCTGCTGGGGCCCTGGCGGGCACCTGGCCTGCTCCTGTCCCTGAGGGTGTGGTGGCGGCGACAGGGCGGGGTGGGGCTGGGGGGGGGGGGACACCTGTGCTCCGCAGCGTGCTCAGCTGTTGTGCGTGGCCTTCCCCACCCCGATGCCCCCTGTGCCATCAGACGGCTGCTTTGGACCCGGGAAGGCAGAGAGGGATCATCTGGCCACTGGAAGTCACCGGCTTTCAAGGTAGAGCAGGCTGACAAAGGAGACCGTGGGGTCCTGAGCCCGCGGTACCAGAACGGCGTCTGCTCTGTCACCTCTGGCCGGACCCTGGGCTCTGAGGTCCTCGGGGCGAGCCGGGGACAGGCATGTGCTCGGTGAGGAGGGGAGCGGCGGCCGGTGCTGACGCTGTGGGGCCGTCTCGTACCCTCTGCGCCCTCCCTTGGGAAAGCCCGAGGGCTGGGTGAAGCATGGCGTTTAGAATTAGTATGTCGTCAGTGATTAAAACAACACTGTTTACGTAAAAAACCGTTTTTCTGATTCTAGTAAGTTAGAGGCGAATGGAGTAAACGTGAGTGTTGCATGGAAGCGTGTTGGCGTCCGGCCGGTGCCGCATCTGCTGCAGTGGCCGTGTTGGTTCCCGTGAGGCCGCTCCTCTGCCTGCCCCCCCGACGTCCCTGCCGAGGCTGGGCGCTGTCCCGCGGGGACCCCGGTCCCGTCAGCGTGGAGGGAGGGAGGAAGGGTCCTGGGGAGTCTTGGACAAAAGGTTTTGTGCCCTCGGGCGGGGCTTACCCCTCATATTTATGATCTTAATTTATACGGTGCCCGCCGTGGAAGCAAATGCCTCCTGTATTGCTGTGTACAGACCCAACCTGGGGTTGTAAATAGGTTGTTCTGTGTATAAATAAAACCTGCCATTGTCAGATTTCTTGTCGTCATTCCTCGTCGCCCAGATCTTTCCAAACTGGATTCAGGATTTTGTATCTTAGCTACTCTGGAAGTAAGTTGGCGTGGCTGAAAAGCAAAATGGAAAGCCACTGTGTCTCTTAGGGTGTGGCCACTCGGATCTGTGGAATGAAGAACCCAGCCAGGAGGCGGGGCGCGGGTAGGGCAGAGGTTCAGACTTCATCACAGGCAGCCTGGCCCAGCCTACTGAGGGAGGGTCATTGAAGCAAATAGTCTCATCCTCCTAAATCTTTCATATAAAACTAGACCACAAGCTCTTCTGTTTACTCCCAGCACCTTTATGCCAAGGGAGTGGCCTCTCCAAGGTCAAGATCACTCTGTCCTCTCCCGGTTCCCCGGAGGGCAACGAGGGGGAGGGCTCGAGTATAATCCGATCGCAAGACTTTTGCTGACGCGGTGTGTGCAGAAGGCAGAGCAGTCGTTCTAAACCGGAGCGGCTCCCGGCTCGGAATTCGTCCGCCAAGACCCCCGTGCTCTCCGCGGTCTGGCTGATGCCATCTCTCCCGGTGAGCTGGCGAGCTGCCTAAACAAGTAAGCCTTGGGGTGCAGTGGCTCAAACCAAGTGTATTTCTGGTTCCCAGAACAGTCACGGGGGGTTGTGCTTCAGGCACTCGGGTACCCCGGCCGCGGCCCCCTCCACGTGTCACTTGGGGGTCTGGCCCACGTGGCCACGGTGGCTCCGGTCACCTTCCTGCCAGGGTGGGGGGAGCGCGGACGAGTGCGCCTGAGGCTTCCTGAGCCCACCTGGAAGCGGCAGCCCAGCTGGGGGCCCAGCCACGCCAGGTGTGCGGGGGGAGGGGCCGCGGGCCGCTGTCACCAGCCGACTCAGCTCTGGGTCCGCTCTGCTTGAAGGCCCCTCCGTTAACGCACGTACCTTGCCCTGCTTTCCTCCCTCAGGTGGTTTCCAGGTGTTCGGAAGGAGGGAGGCCCGTGTCCCTGAGGGGAGAGGAAGGGCGCCCTCCAGCCGCAAGCTGACCCTTGGCAACACCCGGTCGGCTGCGTTCCGTTCTGTCGGCCGGTGTGGCCTTTACCCGCTGCCCGGGATGCTGACCTTGTACCGGAGGTTGACATCTGTGACCCGGGGGCTGTCCTTGGCCCCAGGGACTGTTTCTGGTGGTTGGTTTCCAGTGGCTCTGTGTTGGCGGGTGGCCTCGATCCCCTGAACTCCGGCCTCTGGCACAGGCACCGGGGCCACGCTGCTGGCTCCCAGCTCCACGTCTACGCCCCGTGATAGCGGAGGGTGGCGTGGGGGAAATTAAGCTTTGGGCAGGGGGGCTAGAGAGGAAATTGAGGCACATCTAAGCACCTTGCGCCCCCCCTTCTGTGCCCCCCCCCCCTTCTGTGTCTGACAATCCTTTATGGAATGAAGAACTTGGATTCTTGTGGTTTCTTCTGACCCCGACTGAGTTCGTCCTCCCCGCTAAGGGAAGGCGCTGGGGACGCAGCCGGCACGGCGGGTTGGGCATGTGCTTGCAGGACTCGGAGTTTGTTCTAAAGATAATACCTAGGCTGGCAGGACTTTTAACTTGTATTGATCCCGGTTTAAAATTTTAACACTTTGTTCATTATGGATTTTTCTGCATTAATTTTGATTTCTAAAAATGTTATTAAGTACCGCTCTGTCTTGATTACTGAGTTTTTTGGGCACCTTCAAGTTTTGTGCCCGAGGCTTCCACTTGCCCAAGTCCCAACCCTTCTGTCGTGTAATCTAATCTTGAACGTTAGACCTCAGACTCTCTTGGCATTTGTAGAAGCCACTGCTTGATGCTTATAAACATCAGTTTCCTGTCTCCTGCCCTACTAACAGAATCCCCGCGCCATCTGGGTGACGCGTTGTGCCCAAATGCGCCCCTGCAAGTGTGACCACATTCTCCAGCCTCCTCTGCAGTTGACCTTAGTGATGTGACCAAGCTTGGGCGAAAGACATACAAATATTAACTGAAGTTTCCAGAAAGTTTCCTTTAAAACATGGATGCCTGTCTTTTTCCTCCTGCTGCTGGCCTGGAGGGTGGACCTGATGGGTGGAGCTCTAGCAGCCAGCCTGGGCCACGAGGTTGGAAGCCTACTCCTCGCATCTCCGTGGTCTCCACGAAGCTCCTGGACAACCCCCTCCCTGTACCTGCCACACTCCTTGTATGTCAGTGAGAACTGCATGTGTCTTGTCTCTATGTTGAACCTAATTCCTGTAGCGTTCCTCCCATAAAGATTTTGTATTTGGAAGGCCAAAGCGAAAGCATATAGACACGAGTTACACCTATTATACAGGTGTGAGGCCAGAGAAGGGGGACCCCTGGGGATGGGTGAAGTGGTACGAAGAAAGCTTTGGGGCAGACTGGTGCGCACGCAGGGCGGGTGTTTGTGGGGCGTGGAGGCCTCTCTGCAGCCGGGGTCCGAGAGCGTGGCCTGGACGGGGGCCTGCTCACACCAGGGGAGGCCGCTCTGACCCCACCAGCCCGGGCCGCGGTGTTGGATGGTGTGTCCGTATCAGGCAGGAACTGAGGCACAGCCCATTCACGGTTTTCATCCCAAAAAGCGAACCAGGTTTGCAAAACTCATAGAGGAAAAGCAGCTGGCTGGGAGTCAGAGGCTCTGTCGCTCACGCTGTTGATGGAAGCGGATCGACCACGAGCCTTCCGAGCACTCTCAGAAATCGTGTCGCCAAGTCCCTCGCTGGCCAGCAAAAGCCTGCGGTCGCTCGGCCCCAAGGTCATCAGTGCCAGGCCTCCAGGACGTGCACACTCAGGAAGGAGTGCCCAAGTGGCGTCACCCCAAAGGAGAGCCCTTCCAACGTCCAGGTCAGGTGTGCCCATGGGGACAGCTGACCCCGAGGTCGGAGCGCGGCAGGGCGAGCGAGGCTTTGCCTCCTCGGCAGGACGGGGAGCTCACGGGTCGCTGTCTAGCTGCGCGGGTCCTGCCCGATGCATTCGTGGCCTCTGAAGAGAGCCTCAGTTGTGGTCCTCCTCACCCCCCCGTGTAGACTACTTTCCACCCCAATTTCCAGGGCTCTCTTAGGCACCAGCTGCCGAACCGTGAGAAGTCTGGAGGCCTCGGACGTGGGACGGGAGCAGGGACCGCATGTAACCGAGCCGCCTCCCTTCGGGATGGGGTCGGGGGACGCGAGTGTGGTTTGGGCGTAGGTGGAGGAATCACGGTTTTTAGGTGGGGCGCCGTCAGCCCTGAACCATCCAGCGGTTCCCCTCTGTGGGCCTGATCTCGGCTCTGTTTGAGGGCTCCTGGCGTTGCCCGAACCAGCCTGGCCTGGGTTCAGTCACCCGGAAGTGAAGGGTCCCGGCCACTACGCCACGCAGCCAGTGACACGGGCCGCTGTGGTGAGTGGGGGGGGCACAGGAGGAAATGGAGTCAGAAATAGCTCTTCCTTCCGGGTACACTTTGCCTTGGGAGGTGAGCGAATTTCCAGGATGTAAACACACCCGCGGTGAATTTATTTTGCTGACCCGTGCCCTGGATGGGCATGTCACAGAGCACAGAATGTGAGGGGCTGTCGGTGGCCTCTGTGGTCCTTCGCGATGAAGTCTGTTCCAGAGAGAAACTGCCATCTTCGAAGGCATGATTTTTGATCATCGAGAAATTCGGGTGCCCCACTCCCCTCCCCTTTTGCCAGAAAAATGTCCTAGTGGAATAAACGTTCTCTGTAATGTAACCACCACTGCCCCTTCTCCAGAAGCTTGCAGTTTCTTCTGGTAGTCTTCCTCAGGAGTCCCCAGAATTTAAATTTCTGAGGCAGGACTGAGACAGCATTTCTAAATATAAACGTTTATTTAGCCTCTGAAGTGGGTTTGGGAACAAAAGCGGCTGGGGCAGGAAACAACAGGTGCACATCAGATGTGGAGACGACAGTGAAGAATGGTTTATTGAACAAGGTCTCACAGCCCCCCCCGGGGCCCCACTCCACCCCCATGTGGAAGGATGGACAGAAGGCCGGCAGGCTCACCGCGGGCCCACGAAGGCACCGTCTGGCGAGGGCTCGGGCTTCTCCACAGCCAAGCTCTTTAGTTATTACGTCACCATTTTATGACCTTACCACGAAGGGACCGACCACGGAGCTCGTGTGAACGGAACAGCTTCTACGCCGAGGGGTGGGCTTCCAGCCACGGCCCCCCTCGCGTCTAGCGTTGGTGGCCGCGCAAGGTGCATCCGTGGAGCCCGTCTACACCCTCGGGCAGATCCAGCCCCTGGGGCCCGAGAGCAGCCTGCGGTCCAGGTCTGGCTTCTCACGGCGCCACCGCTTTAGTCCAAACGGGGATGCGACCCGGGGCCCGACGCCAGACACGCGCACGGAGGCCCAGGTCTCCCATGGCGGCTGGGACCGTGCTAGGAGCGGGGCGGGGCCAGGCCGCTCGGAAGCAGCCAGCTCTGTGGACACACGGCTCATGCCGCGGCTGGGACGCTGGCCCGCACCTGTCCTCCCGCCACCGAGTGCGGTGTCAGCGGCGGCGGGGAGGGGAGGCGATGGCCTCGCGACGAGAGCTGCCGCAAAGCCTCATCTGAGGTAAGAGAGCACGTTACCTTCTCGGGAACCCTGCTCCGGCCCAGCTGGAATCTGCGTGCACCATCCCAGTGTCCTGGTCAACGGGCTTGGGGACAGATGTAGGTCTGTCACAGATACCGCTGAGGTCTTTATTAGCCAAGCTTAATTAGGAGGAACAGAATCCTGGTTTAGGTTTTCTGTTTTGAGGACACTCGGGACCATCAGCCCACGCCAGGCCCGTCTGCCGCGGCCGGGCTTCCGGACACACAGAGGCTCCGGCGTTCACAGCAGCAGCAGCGAGAAGGCTCTGATCACGGACGACACGGGGCAGAGGGCACCTCAGGGCTGCCGAGCTGCCACCGGTGTGGCCACACCCGAGGCTTCCTTCTCTTCAGCAGCGTACACCGAGCCCGAGAGGCCACCCTGTCTCCTCATCCTGGAAAGAGAGCTAACGCTTTAGAATCGGTTTTAACTCCGGTCAAAGGGGGGGATCACGTGCCGCGTGGGGGCCAGAAACACCCTTTGTGTCCCAGCGTGAGCCTGGCCGGCCCGTCGGCGTGAGCTGAGCTGTCAGAATTCTCGTGGACGCGGGGGCAACCTCGTCTGAACCGTGAAGACAGAAGAACGTGAGTGCTTCAGACGGTGGACCCGTCGGAGGGTAGCGACGTGCCGCTTTATCCGTGCCTGCAGTTAACGGGGAACGGGTGAACTTTCTCATACGGATGGCAGCCGGGGTCAGGTGTGGTGCAAGGGCAGCGTGTGACCAGCCACTGTGGGACACCGCCAGGTCTGTGCAAGGCCCCCAGGTGGGGGTGCAGCTCGGCCACGTGATAAAGCACGCTTGTCTGGCCGGGGATGGAACGTCCCTCTGCCCGTGATAAACGGAGGGTCTGGAATCCCATCCGCAGGAGGCGGAAAACCACACGCGTGCGCGCACGGCCGCACCCGGTGAGCCGTGGGGGGAGCAGCGCGCCCATGCCCACCACCCGCCGGTACCGGCACCGCTGGGGTGCGGAGGCCACGGGGACGTCGCTGGCTGCCCGCACTATCTGAAACTCCCGACGTGGATGGAAAGAGACGCTTCTGGTGCACGGGGCCGGGCAGGCGTCTTGACACCAGAGAAGACGTCACTGCTCTGCACACGGAGGGTTTCTTGGCTGCGGGAGACAGGAGAGGCTGTCATAGACTCATGGTCGTGGACACCACAGGCCTCACCGGGTTGGGGGATTTGGAATGACTCTGAAATTCATTCCAGCTTTTTAAAAAAAAAAAAAACTTTAGATGTTTATTTTTGAGAGAGAGAAACAGAGACAGAGTGCAAGCGGGGGAGGGGCGGAGAGAAAAGAAGACACAGAATCCAAAGCAGGCTCCCGGCCCGGAGCTGTCAGCAAAGAGCCTGATGCAGGGCTTGAACCCACGAATCGTGAGATCATGACCTGAGCCGAAGCTTAACCAACTGGGCCACCCAGGCACCCCGGTTCCAACTTCTTAGGGTTAAGTTACGACGGGCCACAAGGACGCGTGTTTGCAATTTTGACAGGTATTTACAAACTGTTCAGTCGGAGGACCTCAATTTACGCCTCCCCTGCCCCCGCCTCGCCAACCCTATGTCAGGACAATGGGCTTTTGCACGTTGTCCACACAGTGGGTCAGACTTGGGGCCTTTTCCAATCTGCCAGATGAAAACGTCTCATGGCAGAGTGATCTTTACCTTTTGAATCAACGTGTTAAGCTCGACAGACGCAAGGATCTGAAACGTCCAGCCCCGTGGACTGCTGTGGGTGTGGTGCCAGAGTGACACTGCCTCCCGCTTGACCCTCTCTTCCTTGTGGTTTGTTCCGGCCCCGCCGGGTGCCCCTGGCAGCATGCCTGACACATCGGTACCCAAGGTGGGGACGGGTAGGAGGAGGTGAAGAGTAGGAGGTGAGCAGGGGCTCGGGCAGGTGGGTTACGTCGAAGGCTGCGGCAGTAACTTGGGTAAGAAGCAATCAGAACAGGGAAAAGCCAGCTGAGGACTCAGACTTCAGGAGCCTGGAAGCAGGGAGCAGATCGGGAGGACCGTGGCGCCCCTGATAGGGCCTGCATGGGGGTGACACGGACACGGGGGTGAGAGCCCCGTTCAGGCACATGGAGTCTCAAGTATCAATACTGATGGAACATTCCAGCAGATTCTGGTAAGTGTACCTGGTTTATGGGTGGGGGGAAGGGGATCGGGGGGAGAGGTGAGCTCCACGAAGAGGAAGGAGAGAGTCCACATTGGCAGAGTGGGGAGAGAGCGGGGAGGGCGCGGGGTTGGCGTGAACAGGGCGGTGCTGAAGGGCAGTGAGCGGGCAGGCAGAGGCTGGAGCCGCTCTGTGACGGCGGTGCTCGTCTGTCCAGGAGACCCAGGGGTGCCGGCGTCTGGAGGAAAAGGCCCAGCAAGTGGCAGAGGGGAGGCGGGAGACCAGACCAGGGTGCGGGGGGAGGGTTTCCTCCTAGTGACTTGTTGCCCATGTCGCCCGGGCTGTGTCCCTGTTCCCGGAAAGCCTGTCAGGAGGTGACCAAAGGAGCATGTACAAGCATGGACAGCGGAGAAGGATCCCTGTCCGAGCCTCGATCAAGAGCACAGGTGGGAAGAGCTGCCATCCGGGCCTTCGAGGGGACGCTGCCCGCGTGAGAGAAACTGGCCGTACCTTTTCTGTTTTCCCAGAGCGAGCTGCTTCTGTGTCTCTTTTCCCAGGTCATCTCTGACGGTACTGAAATCTTCATCATCCTCAACCAGGAGATTCTACATTTCAAAATAATGAAGGAACAATGTTTTCGGATCTCTTCTTAGCCTACTTTTAAGGCATATGCAAAAAAATACACCAACAGAAGGATACCTGAACTGACATAAATTAAACAACGAACATAAGACATGCTGGTGCTGGAAATATGCTCTGCCAGCAGTGGAAATGCCACGCCGGCCTCTGAGCACACAGCCCCACCGACAGCCGGCACAGGGGCTCGGACAGAGGACGACATAGGCACAGGGTCCTCCCCGGCCAGGAGCACAGCTGTTTCAGAAATCCTGTCACAGCGGCCACCTGCACACCTCCACAGTGACACCGTGGGCGTCTGTTAACTCTCCGGTGTCCCCAGATGCTGTCCCCACGTTCTCCCGAGGGACCAGACCTCTCCACTCCTGGCACGTGCCATCGGCTTCGTACGTGGACATCATTCACCATGAGCCCTGGCCACCCCCCCCTCCCCCCTGTCCCGGCTCAGCACATGGGGACACGTCGCTTGTGCGACAGCACATGGCTCTGACGCTGAGCAGTGCTCACAGGAACATGTGCATCCCAAAATGGCCATTCTGACGCTCGCCACCTGCCACCGTCTTGTGTGGCTGACCACCTCCGTCGTGTGGCTTTGGGAGGGGCAGCTACGTGCTAAGATACTGAGGACACGCAGGAGGGTTTTGCTGCTTTTACAAGTAGCTCTCAGGTGAGAAAAAGTAACAAATACGATACGATTTCTGTTCCAGTAAGTGCTGCACGAGGAACCTTTATTCGGGTAAGTGGTGTATGATGTGCTTTTTAAAAACTGAGAAAAGCTGACTGCAAAGTAAGAGGAAATACAGAGGTAACGGGCCGATGTCCACGTCCTCAGAGCGGTACCTGCAAGACTGCAGGCGTGTGGCCCGAGACCCCTACTCCTACGGGAGGTCACGGGGAAAAACGGAGGTGAACGTATACATGTGGACGGTGCCGGGTAGATGAAAAAGCTGCTCAGTGACCGCTATTAACACCACTGACCTCTGACCACATTTGCACATTTGTTTTCCAAGGAAAACTCATATTCCGCCGCTGGCCCCCCGCCTGTCAGAGGCCAGTGCTCCGTGGAGGTGAGCCTGGTTGTTGCTGTCCTCCCTCCGCCCCGATTACTACCCAGGACTGCGGCCCTCTGGGACCCTCCGCACTTTACAGGATTTTACATTTCCTGTAAATGACCACTTTGTGACTTTGTTTTCAACCCTAAGTGGAGGTCTGTCCGCGTTGACCTACGTCGCCCTGATTTACGGATTTTAACTGCCGTGTTCTAGATCACCACGTTAATACCTTTCTTCGTTTTATCTGTCCCCTTTCTGAGGATCACTGAAGTTCTTCCGACCTATGCTGAGGTGAGCCCTCCGCACGTCTCCTCACTCGTGTGTGAGCTGATTCAGGTTGTGTCTAGGAATGGCCGGGGTTTGCTATGCACAAGCATCGTCCTGCCCGGCGTGGACTTGTCTCCGGTGCCAGCCCGCGTGCGCCCCTGCCAGAGGCGGCTGCTGCTTCACCTCAAAGGCCCTGCTTCCTGGCCAGTCTCCTCCCAAGAATGGGGCGGGGTGGGGGGGGGGGGGGGGGGGGGGGGTGTGTGTTCATCCTCGCCCCGGTCTCCCCTGTCGGGCTGTCTTTCTGTAACTGACTTACAGATGTCCTTCACATTCTGGACCATCATCCTTGTGACCGATCTTGTTCCTCTTTGTGGCTTGCCTTTTCACTGTCATTTCCTTTGATGAACTAAAATTTTTACTCTTTGTTTAGAGAGAGAGAGAATCTCAAGCAAGCTCCACACTCAGTGCGGAGCTCAACGTGGGGCTCGACCCCACGACCCTGGGATCGGGACTTGATTTCAGCTCAAGAGTCAGACGCTCAACTGACTGAGCCCCTCAGGTGCCCCTGTAATTTTTACTTTTAGTGCAGATTTATCCATCCTTTTCTTTTGGTCTGTGCTTTTTGTTTCTTATGTTGAGAAAATCCTTATGGCTTAGGTTAAGAAGGATTTCTTAAATCTTCTAAAGGTTGGAAATCACTGCCTTTCACATTTGAGTTTCCATATTGATGTATCTGGTGTGAGCAGAGCTGGATACAGATTTTCCGGGGCCTGAAGCTCAAATAAATTTGGGGACCCTCTTTATGAGAATTTCTCCTGTATGAATAACCCATTTTCCCAGTACCAGTTACTGAATAATCCGTTTTTAATGTCGTTTCAAGTGCCCCCCTCCTGCCTGCCCTTGTCACTTCGTACCTGGTGAGGTGAGCACCCGGACTGTGGTCTTTTATTTACTTATCTACTGTTGGTTTATTTTTGAGAGAGAGAGGAAGACAGAGCCTCTGAAGCGGGCTCCAGGCTCCTCGCTGTCAGCGCAAAGCCCGACGCGGGGCTCGAACTCACGAACCGTGAGATTGTGATCTAAGTTGGACACTCAACCAACCGAGCCACACAGGTGCCCCTGGACCGTGGTCTTTAAACAGCTCGGCTCTCTGCCCTGTGCTCCTGCTCGTGAGTTTATGTCTCTTACTGACCAGCACTAACTTCACAGACGTGGGAAGCATTCTGCTGTCTTTGTACTGTGAGGTGGAATATTGCTGTGTGTCTAACTGAAGCTTCAATACTGCTCAATGTTTTTGGGATCTCTGGAGAGGTCTTCGAAATCTTTTGCCTGGATGCATTCCCGGGTACCTTGTAGTTTTACGTATACCGACCTTGCAGTCTTTTGAATGCTCTTGATCTGAGGGTTTATCTGTACAGTCTCTTGAATCTCCTCTGTAGAACTGCACGTAACGGTTTCATGCTTTCCTTTTAGAATTTCCTTTATTTCTCTCGCAATTTTTTCTTTATTTACTGTTCTTTGGGAAGGGTCCCACTGTTTATTACAATGCTGAATGCAAGTGGTGGGTAAGGGAATACTGGTTCCTTGATGTGAAAATATCAGTCAGCAATTTAATCCTTAGTCAACTTAATATCTGGAAGTTAATTCTTAAATCAAGGATCGAAATGACTAATTCTTAACCTAGAAATACTACAGTGTGAAAAGTAGGTTTGTCCGAGGCAAGCCAGGTGTCTCTGTCACTTATGTAGGAACAGGACACCAGATGAGAGGTGGGAAGCTGTGAAGCTAATTCACCAGGTGCAGACACAGTAGGGATTTGGTATCACGGTGCTCGTTCGGGATGAAAAGAAAAGGAACAAAGTAGGAACGGAAGGAAAGGTCTTCCCCTAATACAGGAACCTACGAAAACCTACGGCAACGCACTGAACGACACAACTTCAAAAGCATTTTTTTCATGTGAGTTAAACCCAGATTAAGGTTTTGATACTGAGGTCCTACTGACCTCATAACGAGCTGCCCAGCTTTCTCTCTTCTGCTTCCCATTCTCTGAAACAATTTCTAGAAGACGGGATTATCTGAGCCTTGAAGAACTGATACAACTTCTCTATAAGATCACTTGATCTTGGTGTTTTACTGAAGTGGTACATTTGCTGTTAAGTAACTTACCTTGATACCAACAGTGTCTCCATCTTTCAAGTAATAAGGTGCTCCCTGCAAATTATCTTGCTTTTTCTTCTTCTTCCTCTTGGTAATTTGCTGGTTCTATAGAGAAATCAAGCATCTTGAATAAAGAAAAGTCAATCTCAGGTTCTCACTAAGTTCCCTATCTGTGGGAAAGCGCACGTGGCCTAGTGACTACACCGGCGAGGCCCAGGCTCTCTGAGAAAGGCCCACAACTTTACCCAGCTGGAGACTGGAAGCCACTCGAACTTTTCGGGGAAGTACTTGGCGATTTCAGTTTTCTCCACGGGAAGAGAGCAGAAGTGGGCGATGCGCTGCCTCAAGGAGCCGGCGGTCCAGCCGCAGGCGGTGTCCCACACCAAGTCCACGTGCGGGGCGTATGCCCTCTTGCCGGGGATGCGCATCTGTGTTCTCAGCACCACGTCGTGAGGCCTGCGCCAGAAAACAGTCGAGTGTCAGACTGAACAAAGTGAGAATGCGGTAACCATGGCGGAGCGTGACGGGCGAAGCCTCCCCGCCCACTCTCCTGGCTTTTCCCAAGACCCTCTGATACTCTTCCCTACTCTGACTTCCTTCGGTGCTGATCTGGCCCCGAGCGGGGCGAAGCTCCCACGCCGAGCCGGGCCAGTGTGCCGAGGTCGCCAGACAGAGCTATGGAACAGGTGCACGAAGGCTGAGCTGCTGCGGGGCGGCCAGGGAGAAGCGGGCAAAGGCTTGGCGCGGGGAAGAGGGGCCCAGGGAGACAAACGCAGAAGGATGGGAGGCGCTGGGCGTGTGGGGTGGTACGGGACATGGGGTTCCAGCTGGAAGGTGGGGAGGGGAGAAGCGGGCACAACTGCTGGGCGTTTAGGGTGCCGAGACCGTGTGGGATTTTAAGTGACGCGTTTCTGTTGTGTGGGTGCTTTCACCAAAAGAAGGGGTGACGTGATGGGGGAACAAGTGGGGGCAGCGGCACGGGGAGGGTGCAGGCGTGGTGAGGCTGGGGGTGGGGGGTGGGGGACTCTGGGGGCTGGTCAAGGACAGGGAGCCGCCAGGGAGGGGGTCCACGCAAGTGCACAGCCTGGTCTGCAAAGGGACACGTACCACTTACAACAGATGTGACCAAGGGTCAGTGTCACTGAGAAAGCACTCACAAACCACTTTTTCATATGACCCCGTTATAAAATCACACAAAATATATGAATTAATTCACACTCACAAAATGCAAATGGCTTATAATTACAAGCCTTTGAGAAATACCCAGTCTTACCAGCAATCAAAGAACTGAAGCAAATGAGAGAAGACAACCATTTCTCATTTATCAGTTTAGCAAACATTCAAACCAACACTGAATACTTGCAACTGAGGGCAAAGTAAGTAATACTACTCATAGACACTGCCTGTGGGAACAGCAGTTGGTGTAACTCACCCAGAAAGGACCCTAACTTTTAAGAAGTGTAAAATATCCATACCATCTGATCCAGAAATCCCCCTCCAGGGAACTACTCCTGGTCATATGGTTGGTATTAAGAATGCACTGTTACGGGCGCCTGGGTGGCTCAGTCGGTTAAGCTTCTGACTTTGCTCAGGTCGTGATCTCACAGTTTGTGAGTTTGAGCCCCGCGTTGGGCTCTGTGCTGACAGCTTGGAGCCTGCTTCGGATTCTGTGTCTCCCTCTCTCTCTGCCCCTCCCACTCTCTCAAAAATAACCGTTAAAAAAAATGGTAAATTAAAAAAAAAGGATGCACTTTTATAAACGCAGAGGGGTTAAATGAAAGTCCTGTCGATGGAGGGCTCCTGGTTACTACACAGCAGGACGAACAGCAGGAATGGCGTTCCCATCACATCAGGTAGAAGCAACCTATTTTATGATACTGATAGAAGGTCTTATAAAATATTTTATATTTTTTAATTTGAGAGAGAGTGAGCGGGGGAGGGGCAGAGAGAGAATCCCGAGCAGGCTCCACACTGTCAGGACAGAGCCCCACGTGGGGCTCGAACTCACAAACTGTGAGATCGTGACCTGAGCCGAAACCAAGAGTTGGACACTTAACCGACTAGCCACCCAGGTGCCCCTAAAAGACTTTCTTGTAATGAGAAAAGAAATAGGAAGGTTGATTACAGACCCCTTAGGGGTGTTTCTTTATTCAATAATTAGTGACCATGACGCAGGCACTGTTCTAGGTACTGCGGCAAGAGCAGTGACCAAAACACAAAGGATGTGTTCTCACAAGGCTTACATCCCAGCAGTGGGAGACCAGTAACACATAATTCGGTACGTATATGTCAGGCACTGTGAACACGAAAAAGTAGGGTGGGGGGGGGGCAGTGACAGGTGCTGTGCTAAGTCAGTCTGACAACAGACTACCTCAGTGCACTGGTGAGAGCTGGGAGTGAGCAGCTTCCTACACTTTGAGATCATTACGGAGTCAGTATGCATTTGTGACTCACTGTTTTCATGGAAAACTGAGTTCTAAATTCCAGACACCAGACATACAGACACATCTGCAGAACACAATCTGGTTTAAGCTGCCATGCTACTCAAGCAGTGGGAAAAAACCCTTCACTACTGATCACATTAAGTTTTTCAGGAAACTACCCACCTGATGAGACATGTACATGGAATAGGATGGCTTACCCCAAGTTTTCTTCCTTCTGAAGGGGCTCTAGACAGATCTCCGTTTTCCTTCCCAGTTTATACTCCCTGATAAAAGAAATGAAACAAAATACTATTGAGTGACATTTAAGTTTTTAGATTTTTGGGGGGAAAATTCTAAGTTTTCTCTTGAGCAAAAGAATATACTAAATAAGAACACTCGATATTTGAGAGGCAACTATGAACAAATGGATGCCAATAAACTGGACAGGCTGGAAAACAATGGGTAAGTCTTGGAACATACTAGACTTAGTATGCACTAAATAGAAAATCTGAACAGACCAACTACTAGCAAGGGAACTGAATCAGAAAAGTCCAGGACCAGATGGTTTTACTGGTGTGTGTGTGTTTTTATTTTTTAATGTTTATTTTTGAGAGAGAGAGAGCGAGAGCGCAAGCATGAGTTGGGGAGGAGCAGAGAGAGGGAGGGAGACACAGTAGGCTCCACACTGTCAGCACAGAGCCCACCGCAGGGCTCAAACCCACGAACTGCAGGATCATGACCTGAGCCAAAGTAGGATGCTTAACCGACTGAGCCACACAAGCGCCCCACACTGGTTAATTCTAATAAACATTTCAAGAATTAATACCAATCCTCTTCAAGCTCTTTCAAAAAACAGAATAGGGAACACTTGTAAATTTCTATTATGAGGCCAGCCTTACCCTGATACAAAACCTGACTTAGCAAACCAAATTCAATAGTACATTAAAAGAATCCTACACCATGATCAAGGAGAATTTATTGCAGGGATGTAAGAGTGATTCAATATCGGCAAATCAATCAATGTGATACAGTAACAAAACTAAGGGTACATATCTCATCATCTCAATAGAGGAAGAAAGAGCATTTGACCAAAATTCTACATCCTTTCCTGATAAATATTCTCAATACAATGAGTAGAGACAAAACGCAACTTGACATAATAAAGGCCATATATGACAAGCTCACAGCTAACATGCTGAGTGGTAAAGCCTGCAAGCCCTTCCTCTACCATCAGGAGTAAGAAGACGCCTGCTCTCGCTGCCCTCGTTCAGCACAGTCCTGGAAGTCCTTCCGAGAGCAATGAAACACGGAGTAGAAAAGGCATTCAAATCAAAAAGAAATAAGTAAAACTGTCTCCAGTTACAGATGACATATTATATATAGGAAACCCTAAACACCAAAGAACTATTAAAATAAATGAATTCAGTAAAGTCTCAGGATACAAAGTCAGTATACACAAATCATTTAATGTTTTACACACTAACAGTGAACTATCAGGAAGACTAATTAAGAAAACAGTCCCATTTACGAGCATTGAAAAGAATAAAATACGCAGGAAGAGATTTTAACCCAGGAGGCAAAAGATCGATATGCTGAAGACACTGATGACAGAAACTCTCTGAAGAAACAAGTAAGTGGAAAAGAAATTCCACGTTTGTGAATTGGAAGAATATTGTTAAAATGTCCACAATTACCCAGAGATAGCTATAGACTCGATGCAATCTCTATCGAAATTTCAATGGCATTTTTCACCGAAACAGAAAACCAATTCTAAAATTTGTATGGAACTGCAAAAGATCCCAAAGAGCCAAAGCAATCTTGAGAAAGAACAAAGCTGGAGACATCACCCTTCCTGATTTCAAACTACAGTAACCAAAACAATATGGTTTTGCCATAAAAACAGACACAAAGACCAATGGAGAAGAACAGAGACCTCAGCAGTGAACCCGTGCACGTACGGCCCATGAGTTTACAACAAAGGAGCCAAGACTCCGCACTGGGGAGAGGAGAGTCTCTTCAACAGACGGTGCTGGGAAAACCGGACAGCCACGTGCAAAAGAACGGAACTGATCGCTCTCTTACGCTGCACACAAAAATCTGCTCAAAAACTCTTCCTTGGAAGCCAAGCGGCCTCGCTCGCTTTCTGCCGCCACCTTGAGGGGAAAAGCAGGCCGTGGTGAAGCCGAGCGGCAGCTGCCCCGGAAGCGGTGCGCCGGCCGCGGGGGGGCAAGATGCGGGCCGCTGTCTGCTCTGTGCCACGGACAGCTACTGGCACAGCTGGAGCCTCGCATGCCCCTGCGGCCGGGCGCAGCGGGGCGACATCAGCCCTGTCCTGTTACACCGAGGGCGCTGTGGTCCCGTGCACAAGTGACTATGGTCGGTGATCTGGGAACAGCGGAGCCTGCAGCACTTAAGGACAGTCGATTCCTGCGCGTGAACTGGGCCCGAGGCGATGCACATCATCTCAGTGTCTTACGTGGTCCCAGAAGATCGGTTTCACTACATCAGTGGCAGTTTATTTTGTGGACGTGATAGACCCACAACTCTCATCGGTGGCCATTTACATTCACTTCAGTGCCATCCCTACTGCCAGACCCGGGCTGCTGGAAGGTCAGAGTAATGCCAGATGCGTGCCTTCAACTCAGACCGCATTCGTCACGGTGGATCCCGCGTTGTCTTCAGTAGACAGTCGCTTTGGTAGCCCCAGTGAGAGCTCCACGCCACCGCACCTCCGTCAGACCTGACCACCCTTCCCGCATTACCGGTGTATTAAAATGACTGAATACGAACATTAAGCACCCCACGAACCTGGGCTGATGGAGAGACTGTAGAGAAAATGAAAAAAAGATCCACGGGGGCACATCTTGGGTGGGGGGTGGGGGGAGCATGGGAGGAGGGAAATGACTAATGAAGCTAATTAAGAGAATTAAGAGGAGAATTCAAATCTGCTTTCTACTCTCATTAACAATTAGCAGGGCACTGGCCAGAGTCTGTACCCTGTGTTTTACCTTAACAACATTCTACTTACTCTTGGTATATTTAAGCGTTGTAAGGAAATGTGTTTCAATCAAAACCGAACATGAGATAAAGGAAAGAGATGTGGCGTTTGCAACACTCTATCTATCGCAAACGCTTTTGTTGTGTCTCTGTAAAACACAGCGTACGTATGCATGTAAGTGTAAGTGTTCTCGTCCTAATGTTGCTACTTCCATGGCAAAGAAGAAAAAAAAAAAAAAGAATGGAAAAAAAAAGAAAAAAATTGGAAAAAAATCAGGCTTATAGCAGCTACTGTGTAGAAATTTCCCCCTACTTCTAATTTGCTGAAACAAGAAAAAAAATCTTTTATTTGTGATATTTTTCAGAGACATGTGCTCTAATATGGTGTATTTATATAATACAAACTTAAAAAAAAAAGCAACTCAAAATGGATTAAAGACTTGAATGAAAGGCCACAAACCACAGAACTCCTAGAAGAAAACACAGGAGGTAGGCTCCCTGACATTGGCCTTGGCGATGACTTTTTTGGATTTGGTACCGATACCAAAAGGAAAAGCCAAGAAAAGCAAAAATAAGTGGGACTGACTGCATCAAATTAAAAAGCTTTTGCACAGCAAAGGAAACCATCAGTCAATGAAAAAGCAAGCTATGAAATGGGTGAAAATACCTGCAAATCATCTATGTGATAAAGGGTTAAGAAAGAACCCAGAAAGCTCAAAAGCAAGAAACCTCCGAAACAGTCCAGTAAAAAAATGGGCAGAGGAACCGAATAGACACTTTCCTGAAGAAGATCTACAGGTGGCCAAAAGGCACGTGAAAAGGTGAACATCACTCCTCATCAAGGAAATACAAATCGCAACCACCCTGAGATGCCACCTCCCACTAGCATCAGGAAGACGAGATAAGTGCTGGCGAGGGTGTGGAGAAAAGGGAGCCCTGTGCACTGTTGGTGGGAATGTAAATTGGTGAAGCCAGTTTTCTGGAGGTTCCTCAAAAAATTAAAAATAGAATTGCCAATATGACCTAGCACTTCTGGGTATGCACGGAAAGGAAAACAAAATCTCCAATAGGTACTATTCACAGCAGCATTATTCACAACAGCCAGGATTTGGAAACACCTAAGTGTCCATCACAGACAATGATGTGGTGTCTATACGTGTAAGCGACAGACTATCATTCGGCCATGGGAAAGAAGGACAGCCTATCGTCTGTGACAACATGGATGGACCTTGAGGACATTATGCGAGTAACGTGGAGTGAGTGAGACAGAGAAAGATAAATCCTGTACGATCTCACAAATATGTGGAATCTGAAAAGGCCGGACTCCTAGGAACAGAGTACGTGACGGTTTCTTGGGCTGCAGGAAAAGAGGAGATGCTGATCACAGAGTCCAAACGTCCGGGAGGAAGGCAAGTGAGGTCTGAGGCTCTAACGTACAGCCCAGCTCTTCCCGTTCACAGTGCTGTATCCCATATTTGAAAGTTGCTAGGAGAGCAGATCTTGAATGTTCTTACCACGAAAAAGAAATGGTAATTATGTGATGCGATGCAGGTGTTCGCTAACGCTATGGTGGCAATCATTCGAAATTTACACAGTGCTAACATGTCAATTATATCTCAATAAAGCTTGAAAAAAACCTCAAAATTCTGTTCACGGTAGCTGAAGCACAGTAAAACCACACAAAGCTACATTTATGCTTAATGTGGCAAACTAAAGGCCCAGAGTTTCTGCTTCAAAGCGTCTACCTGACAACAGGCTACCTGCCTTCTCCCCCGGCCTCTCACTACCTGGTACCACAGCGGTGGAGGAAATGGAAGACAGAGTATCGAGGGGGAACCTACTTGAGTTGCTGCAGGTTGGTCCGTAAAAGCCTGCTGGGGCGCTTACTTTCCAAGGTCCAGGCTCTAAGGAAGGCTGGGGACGGGATGACGAAATCAGAGGAGGACAAGGTCATGGCCTAGAAAAGAAACAAGACGTTTCTCCAATGGTGTGAAAAAGCACTCCCGCAACATGTATTGTTTTGGACGAAACTGAAGCCCTACACAATGTCATCTGAGGGAAAGAGTATCTCGCATAATGATAAAATCTATCAAAAAAAAAATCTCAGGGATATCGCTTGAATGAAATCAGTCCAGTTACTGTTGTATTCCTCTCTAGGGAAACCAGCTTGTGGGATAAGTGAATTTTCTATTGAGCCATAAGCTCCTTTTAAATCATGTTTTAGAAAATGAAACTTAGAAATTAATTTCTATGAGTATAACTCACAAGAGCTCCAGTGAAAGCAAGGGGTTCATCATCCGCTTTCTTTACCGTTAACGTAGTTCTTCAGAGTTTCCTCAGTCAGTGAAAGAACTTGAATTTGAAATGTTTCGGAATCTTTGGATGCAACTGCTAGGCCTCAACTTCTGCACTAATTTTGCAGGGGCTGAGAACTATTTATAGATTTAGGTTGTAGTATATAAAATGGCCAGTATTCATTTTTTATCTAAAAACCGCAATTTTGTATCTCTCAATCCAATAGAAGACAAAAAAGTCTCCCCTCCTGTCCCTCATGGGAATAAGACCGTTTGCTGCTTCTGAGGAAGGTTATTTCATACACCGAGGACACAACAGGAAAGTCAAGCTCAGCCACTGATACTCAATTGGACACCCCGATTTTTTTTTTTTTAAGAGAAAGGGATGCCCAGTAACAGTAAGATGCTTCTTAAGCATTTTGTGTTGTTTTCAATCCAGCCTTTCCATTTGGACCGAATGCCCTTTCTCTACTAATGTTAATACAGAAGAAAATGTTACAGTATCCAGTTTGACACCCTACCGTAAAGCTGATGTCTGGACCTGGGAGACAGATAACACGTCTTTTAACGGACAACGCTTGACACATGGATCACGATGATACAAAAACAATGTAAATAAAGGGGTAAAGTGAATGCTTTACAGATGTTTCAATAAATCATGTTTCCTTACAGACATCAAAATGAACATATGCTGCAAGCCACTGAGGACAAATTGAAATGAAAGCACACAGCATGCCTGTCAGAGTGGGGGGAAATGAAAGGCACAAGGCCAGTGGCAGAAACAAACACCAGGGGCCGTCTGAGCCATATGCGTGAGTCGCCTGTTGGGTACTTACCACTGAACATGGCATATAACACATGCCATATCAGAACAGACTGTAAGTGAGGCAAAAGGAAATAGAAGAAGATATTAATATCTCACTGGAAGAAGCCACGCCACCACTAACGTGCGCCACGGGAGCAAGTCTGACCTGGGACTTCAGCTCCAGCAAGGTGGCCTCTTCTGAGATCTCGAGGTCCCCCACGTGGCGGAGGGAAGCCTCTGCATACAGGTCACCTGGAGCGCCTACGAGGGACAGAGCTGGAGGTTAGAGAGGAGCTTTGCCGTGTGTTCGCTTCCTATTTCTGAAATACACGCCATGTTTTGATATTACAAACAGGGTTAGTATAGCTCCATTCAAGAAAGTATGAATCTGAGTTCCTCAAATTGGGTCCCTGGGGACTTGGGAAGGGAGGAGGCCACACCTGGTACACTGGCAGGGAGGGAGGATGCGGTGGGCACAATGCCACGGTTCTCTCACTGCAGTGGGTTTGAGGAGTCTCACGCTTGTGATGTCCTCCTAGAATATTCTCCTCCACATTTTCTCCTTCCTCAGAGAGGACTTTACTAGTAGGATCCTCAGCCCTTACTATTTTACCTTCTTGTTTCTCTCGTGACACTTACCCCAACACGTTTTGTCTGTTTTCTTGTGTGTATGGCTTTCCTACTCTGTCTCCCCAAGACAATGGTCATTTTCCACAGAGGGCAGGCATTCTCCATCTACCCTGTTGGTCTTCCCAGTGTCTGGGATTGGTGGACGCCACATAGTAAATGGCCAGTAAATGTTTACTGACTAAAATTTCCTTGACAGTAAGAAGGACTTTCTACATTTGTTTTAAAAAGGCAAAACCAAAATGTTCTCTTATCTAAAACTCTAGATACAAAAGTTGGTAACTAAATTTAAAACTCATTTTTGCTTTGTTGATTGCTGGGCACAGTGCTAATACACAGTAAGATATCAGATTAAGTAAATTACGTAAAAAAGCTCTTTGTGAGTGGTTCTTCTGTCTTAAGTACACCATGAGCTGATGCCACCAGAAGATACTTTTAGGAAACTCTCAGGAACGAAAACATATTTCCCATATATTGTGATATAGAAGGACTATCAAAAAACGAACTCTTTTGGGGGCGCCTGGGTGGTTGAGCATCCGACCGGCTCAGATCATGATGTCACGGTTCCAGAGTTCGAGCCCCGAGTTGGGTGCTGTGCTGACAGCTTGCAGTCGGGAGCCTGCTTCAGATTCTGGGCCCCTCTCTCTCTGCCCCTCCCCCACTCGTATTCCATCTCTCTCAAAAATGAACATTCAAAAAAAAAAAAACAACTTTTTTCTTTACTTTCATGGAGAAAGACACTGCTTTTTAAGTTTGTATCCAATTCTCTACGTAATTAATATTCTACCACCAAAGCATTTTTAGAATTAGTGCGTATGGAATATAACCCAAACAAACAAAAAAACTTAATGCCAATTTCAGAGGTAATTCAACATGAAGTATTTTATTGCTCCTTACGTATAATCCTGACTTCAGAGTAAGGAGACAACAACGTGACTCATCTGTGTTCATTTCAGTACTGAGGCTTTAAAAGGTAAAAAGAAATATTAAGTGTGTAATACCCCAAGGCACTAGAACCACTAAATAATGAAGTAAAACACAACAAAAGGAAAAAAATATGTAAAGTGTCGGTCCTACCATAAATATATTCTTTATTTAGCTACAAGGAAAACTAACTTGTGTTTTCTCTGTAATGAAGTGAAAATCTTTTTACGACACATTCCAGCTCTCTGCTAGTGACCTCTTGCTCATCACGATGTGCGCGCTCAATTCTGTCCGTGGAGAGCAACTTAGAGTAAAACAGCGTTCGCGCTCCGGCTTCTCAGAAGTCAGAGGTGAGGGGCGGGGACCTGGCGGGGGAGGCAGGAAGGAGGGAGCCAGCAGGTGTGGTCTCTGCCGTGGGGGCTGCAGAGGAGCCCCTGCGGGGACTAAAGACTCAGTGTCCCAATCTGTTACAATAAATGGGCTAAATTCATGAGGACCTTGTGGGGTGAAAACATCTGATACACTGATTAATAAGGATAATAAGAGCCGGCACTTTACAGGGGTTACAAAGCACTGTAGGAAAATAGGACAGTGTTATCGTGGCATGAGTTATGGAATAAACGGGTTTCGATTTTCAGCCTTACGCTGAAGACACGCACTTCCTTTGTCACTTTACTTTTCTTTAGGACACACTGGCTGCCACTGTTGTGTTCTCACCTTGGGTGGAAGTAGCTGTCCAGACCCCACTTGGAGAAGGGGTACCGTCCACCTGGTCCTGATGACTCTTCCAATGACCGGAGGGACCCCCAGGCTGGTACCACCAGATGGGCACCTTCAGGAAACCCTGAAGAATGGAGCATTTCTAACTTCTGTGACGTACATGAATGGAGTGAATTTCTACTTCCACAGAGAGAAATATCTTGATAACAGAAGACGTTCCTGAATGTATTACTTTTCTTTTTAGATTACTAACTGCCATACGCTACATCTGTTTATTGTTTTTACAATCAAAAGTTTAAGATCGGGGCTCTTGGGTGGCTCAGTTGGTTAAGCACCAGACTCTTGATTTAGGCTCAGGTCGTGATCTTGTGGTTTGTGAGATCGGGCCCTGCGTCAGGCTCTGTGCCATCAGCGCAGAGCCTGCTTGCAATTCTCTCTCTTCCTTGCCCCTCTCCTGCTCTCTCCCAAAATAAATTAAAAAAAAAAAAAGTTTAAAGTCATAAAAATTAGTCTTTGGGATGGATGACTGGGATCCAGTGTTCTTTGCTTTGAAGTATCTTAGTAGATACACTTACTTGTAGTATCTTACCACAATAAATGACAAGTATAAACAAGATAACAATGTATTTAACAGAATAAACTGTACAAATATTTTCAGGCATTGTAAGAGCTCCACTAGTACAATGCACCTGTTAGAAGCAGTTTTCACTCATTAAAATTCCTAAAGGAACTTTATAAAGAAGGAAGAACCTATTGCTCTAAGTTGGGATTCCTATATACAAACTACAGGAAATAAAGCTGATATATTAGCCCACGTACACAAAGCCACAGATGCAAACTGTTTACGGTGGCAAAAACCACAAACCGGTTACATTATGGTAGGCCATAACCTTTGACAAAGTGATTTCAGTTCTAGGAACTTATCCCGTAGATACATGCGTGCAAATGGCACATATGCGATATTTTTTGCAGTGTTATTTGTATCAACAAGAGACTGGAAACCACCTAAAACCTTGAAAAGAGACTGGTTGGATAAACCACGGTACCTCCACACAATGGACTATATTACATAGCCATCAAACAATGAAATAGCTGTATGTATACTAACATAACATATATATGGAGATAAAATATTCATGAAGAAAGGGAGGTACAGAAAAAGAATTGCATATGATCTTTTGTGTAAAGAAAAACATGCATGTACACAAACATGTATGTATGTGCTACGTATATACACATACACACGTGTGTGCATATGTGTGCATTAAAAAGTATATACTTCTGGAAGGATACAGTGGAAACTGGTTGCCTACAGAGGGAGGGCACTGACCAGCTGGAGGGCAGGAGGGATGCTTATTTTTCCTGGCCCCGCTTTTTATACACTTTAAATTTTGTATTATGAATATTACCCATTAAAAAGTTCACTTTAAAGGTCATGGAATAAAACAGAATTCTAAGAAGTGATGCAGAAGAATAAGGTGTGTGCTGATATGAGATCCTCAGGATACAGTAAGTGAATAAAAACAAAAACCAAGTGTAAAACAATGCAAAGAATACGACCCCCTTCACGTAAACGTTAGAAGGGAACACACATATCCTTCTGTACCATTCTGCATACAAACAGGCATCAGTTTTTTCTTGGAAGGATATGCAAGGGAAAGTAAATTCATTCTCTCTCTGGGGAGAAAAATATGGGAAAACCTTTTTCATTTTATGGCCTTCCATGGTATTTGAATTTTCTAATCATAACCAAATGGTTATCTCAGTGCTGGAATCTGGGATCATTTTTTTTAAACTTTTGCCTTTACATGTGTCCACATTAAAAATAACCAAATAGGGGCGCCTGGGTGGCTTGGTCGGTTAAGCGTCCGACTTCAGCTCAGGTCATGATCTCACGGTCCGTGAGTTCAAGCCCTGCGTCGGGCTCTGTGCTGACAGCTCAGAGCCTGGAGCCTGTTTCGGATTCTGTGTCTCCCTCTCTCTCTGCTCCTCCCCTGTTCATGCTCTGTCTCTCTCTGTCTCAAAAAAATAAATAAACGTTAAAAAAAAATTAAAAAAAAAAAAACAAATAAATAATGGTCTTAAAAAGCGGTAATACGGGGGCACCTGGGTGGCTCAGTCAGTTGAGCATCTGACTTTGGCTCACGTCACACGATCTCACGGTTTGTGAGTTCAAGGCCCACCTGGGGCTCGCTGCTGTCAGTGCAGAGCCCGCCTCAGATTCTCTGTCCTCCTCTTTCTGCCCCTCCACTTGCACTAACATTAAAAAAAAAAAAAAGTGGTAACATGCAGTGTTTATTTAAGAGCTCTCAGATGTGGCTGATTAGGGATGTCAATGTGGTGCAGCTTTCTGGGAAAACGTGGCAAGATACAGACAGTGTCTAGTCTGTAAAAGTTCGTACCTTCTGACTTGCTGATTTTGACTCTGGAACAATTTTAAGGAGGATTTGTATTTAAGTATTAAAAAATTTAAAACGGCAATATATATGAATTAAACCATGGTAAGGCATACACTGGCTATGATGATTATTTTTGGATTTTGTAGTCAGGTTAAAAAATGAAATATGAGAAGTAGGAAATAACATTGTATACAAACTGATTTTATAAGAGGGAAATCTATAAAGATGTAGAATCTGGCAGCTGTCTGATTAGAGAACTTACCCCAAACCTTATCATTCTCTTCATGATGGGTCGTATTTCCCCACGATGAGAATATACCATCTTTGTAATCTGAAAGCAGTACCTGTGATTTATAAAATGTCAATTCAGAAGCGAAATCTTACCGGAAGAGGAAGTTTTCCTTCAATTAAAAGCAAGGTATCTCCAGAACATATCGTAAGTTCTTTCAGGGATGCGTCCTGGGGAAAGAAATTCCTTTATGAGTTCTGACAGCAACAGAGATTAGGTTCTTTTCTTTACACCAGATGCCTCTACTACCCATTCAAGAAAGAAAGAAACAGTAAGGCAGCTATGGGGGAAGACAGGAAATAAACTGAGACTGTAAAACAGCGTATCATTACGTATTAAATTATCGGGTATGAACCGGAGGTATCATAAAAGATTAGGGGAGGGGGGAGGTGGACAGAATGAGAAAGGATGAGAGCCTGAGCTACACAGGATGAAATTCTAGTCAAGCCTAAAGGATGGGTTTGATTTGGGAAAAGCTGGAGGAAACGAGAGAAGGAATTCTCCTGAGAAGAAAAGGGTTACGGTAGAGGTTATGTCAAGAATCCAAGAAGAGCTGAGAGATGGGCCGACTAGAGTGTCAGTTGGAGAGGGAACTGATCGGAGGGCGGGGGGGGGGGGGGGGGGGGGGGGGGTGTCACAGGTGGAAGGGCTGTGAACTAGAAATAAAGGAGTTTTTGGGTGCTTTGAAAAAAGGCACTCAAGTTTTCTGAGAAGGGTGTTTAAAGACCAGTCTGGCTGCCACAGAACGACATACTGAAGTGGGGGACACCTGACTTGGGGAAGCCGGTTGGTGTAATTTAGGTAAGAGGCCAAAAAAGAAGAAAAAAACTTGGCCCAGGCAGCCAGTGGTGAGAAGAATCAGGAAGGAGTGGAGGAGTTGAGAGGTCTCCGAAGGCCAAGACCAAATACGGAGGAGGCAGGTAAGCAGGGGAGGCGCCACTGTGGGCTGAAGACACCAGGCTGGGAAACAGCAGGTCTGGGAGGAGGAGCCAGTCATGAGGACACTGAGATGGCTTTTAGACGAACCGATACCGATGTGGGAATTAACAGAGAAGAAAACGCAGAGACCACATGACCAGATACGCTCTCTGACATCCGAACCGTGTGTCCCCAAGATTCTCTGAGGTCCACTTCTTACTCTGGGCAGTCAGATTCCTGGCCAAGACTCAGAGGGGCCTCTCTGTGCAGACTCGCTCAGCCCTGCACAGCGAAGAGTATTCCGGTGGGAGGGCCCCAGTCCACCTGCTTGAGTCAACCTTCTGATGATGTTCAATGCCACCACCTGTTACTGAACCGAGAGCACGCAGAGGCAGACTGCGGGAAGAGTGGCTGGTCACAAATGCCTAAGCTTTCTCACAGAGTTTCATCTTGGGGCTCCTTAGAGCCATGGTTTGATGCTACCTGAATCAGCAAGAAGACGGCTGACCAGATTCCAACTAGCCTGTGATAACACTGTTTCTAAGGCTACCGGAAGAGTCTGGATGGATCCTGAGATGCAGTTTTGATCAAAGCCTAAGTGACCGGCTGGGAAGATGAATTCTGCCATCGTTAACGTTCAGAGCAACGGAGATTAAAATATTCAGGTTTCCAAATTCAGAGTGTAGCTTCGCATTCTTTCACCGGCTCACATGTTTTCTGTTCTCTGAAGTTCTCTGTCTCTCAATGGGGAACTATTATTTCTAGGGACAAACTCTCTGAAGTCAAAAGAGGACTAACACAGCTGTTAGAAACATTCCCACAAGGCTGAGATTTTCCCTCTGTGTCAAAAGCCCACAGTAAAGAAGTAAAAGTAGACCCAGGTACAGATTTTTGTGTCCTAAAAAAAACGATTACAGTTTTCTCTCGAACGTATTCATGAGGGGGGTAGGTATCCTGCATGAAACACAAAATAAACAATCATTTTAAAGAACAAAATGTGTATAAATAGTCTTACTTCTTCACATAAAGGCTCTCCCGCTTCATAGCACCAATCCATTTTCCGTAAATGCCATGTGTCTCCTGTGAAGGAATCAAAATCAGTATGAAAAAAAATGATGAGTATATTTTAAGAGTTTGTCAATGATGTCCCTTTTGGCTAAATGAATATCAAATGAGATTTGGTCTACTAACTACTAACTAACTTTTAAAGTAAATGATCTCTTCCAGCCATGAAAAAAATTAAGTTGTTCCTCCAGTCTGGTTAATTTGCTCTCCACCCCACTAAGATCTACATACTTGTGAACAGAAATAACGCTTGCTGTGACTACACAATATTTACATTATACCTGTATTACTTACATGTCCACACCCATCACACACAAGTACACATATATGTACACATATACCCAAGTACAGAATCTCTTCTAAAATCATTATGAAGTTGTTTTATTTCATGGTCTTGGTTGAAAGTATATGCTCGTGTCTCTTAGCAACTGATAACATGCACAAACTATTCCCATCCAGTTATCAGTTAATCTAACAAAAAAAGTGTTTTTGAAATAGCATTTTAATGAAGTTGTTGTAAATGAACACTTAAAAATGTAAAATATTCTTTAATTAGATTACTGGCTCTCGATATGCTTCCTATATTGAGATGAAATGGGAAATTCTTTGAGGAGGAGAGGGAAGCTGAATAGAGCAAGAGCTGGAAATCCTGGTTATGAACAAACAAACAAACGCACCAGCCATGTCTTGTGAAGAGTGAGCCACGCCACCCACCCAGAGAAGCTGCAGCCAAAGGAGGAAACCTGGATCTCCTACTTCACCTGCACAGGCCACAGGTTTGAGTCCTTACAACACTGTTCTTTGCAGACCCTCTCCTGCCATTAGTTCTAGTTTTAAATACAGTAAGAATTACAGCAATATTTAACTTGATCTAAGTGTGTTTTAAAAACAACAAGCAAACACCACCAGGAAGCTGAAAGTGAACACCATTACTTCCAAGCATAACCCGGAAGGAAGAACTCGGGTTCTGTGGGCAGAGAGGCCCAGCTACTTGCCACGTGACTCTGAGTAAACCCTGCAGCCAGTCTCAGCCTCTGTCTGTCACCTGTGAGACGGGCACTGTTCCTGCACAGGAGTGTAAGCTCCGAGGACAGGGCCCCTTGTGCAGGCCCGTCAGCTTCCCTCCCGGCTACCGGAACCACAGGTTACCCTCCGGTGAAGTCTGAGGACCACAAATGCTCTAAGAGCTGCGTGATGCCCCTGTGAGCTGGCTCGCGTGATTCCACCCAGGTACCTACTTCAAAGATTTATTTTCTTCATTTGTATTACATTCCCTAGTCTCTAGCACAAAAATCCTGGCATGAAGCACAATGCGCTGAAATTCTGAATCCATGACGTTAAAAAGAAAAAGAAAAAAAAAAACCATCAGTGAACAGCCTGGGTAATTCTGGAGGGCATAAATCCTAACTGTGCCAGTGTCTGCTAACCCACAGCCAGACTTCTTCGAGCTTGCAAATATGAACCAGGAGACTTCACTATGCACACACAGAGGTGTAAAGTGTAACAGACCTGGCCCAAAAATGTCTGAAAAGCTTTCATTAGGCTTGCAGGTAATTTATTCTAAGGATATAGATAAGACTGCATCATCGTGGTCTGTAACTTACCTGGTAGGCCAGACTTCTCCAGCATGAGCTTTAAACACTGTTTAAAAAGAAAACACACACACACACACACAGACACACATAGAAAAACCATGTTCATTAGTTTTCTGTTTTTGAGTTACAGTACTGTGAGAGATACCCCTTTTGGACCCTGGGCCTATTTTATGACATTTAATAATTCCCGAAGACATCAGGATGCACATAGCCACAGAGAGGATTTAAGCAAGCTCTGCTTCCTAAGAGCTGAAGCAAACCCAGGAGGGAAAAACAAGTTCCTGGTGTTTGCATCTCAGACTTAGATGCACCCAGGTCTATAGTGTGACCTTCTGCTTGTGAGGACCAACACCACGGTTTTGACTGGATAGGATTAGACTGATTTCACAGATACACATTGAACTGAACCTTACAAAGAGAGATTAGTCTTTATGTAGCACTCAAGAAATACCACTGGTCATCTATAAACTCACAGAGAAAGATCTGTGCAGGTGGCGACCCCACAGCACAACGCAATAAGCGAGATGTGATTAACACAAGTTTAAATAATAATAAAAAATAGAAACTCCCAACTTCCTGACAGAAAAAACATTCTCAAATTAAGTGAGAACAAAAGAGTAGATAAAACGTGATTTATACTACACCAGAGTGGAAGGAAGAATAAGGAATAAAAAAAAAGACCAAAGGATCAAAATATCCATTAACAGGGGAACATTTAAATAAGCTATAAGAGGTCTTAAAACAGCTAAAAGGATACAGGAGATTTATATGCACTGGTCTTAAAAGATCTTTAAAATATCTGAAGTGAAAATTCTAGTATAATACATGCAGCGTGATCCCATTTATGATGTAAAAGAAACCATGCGAAGAAGCCCAGCCCCTCGTCTGTACATACATACACACACACACACACACACCTCCCCATGTTGGTCCGTGCATGTCCAAAGTCTGGAAGGACACACATTCACGGGTGTGGTCAGATCACACCTTCCCAAGACAATGGTGACTTCTGAGGGACCAGCACAGGCTGGTGACCAAGGAGGATCTTTAGCACTGCCCAACCCGCCCCCAGGGAATCCCCGAGTAGCTGTAGGACTAAAAATAACAAAGACTGTTTAGAAAAAGAGGACAATGAGAACACATCACATTAACACACAGGGAATGGGGCGAAGCTGCAAAACACACTGCGGTCTTCACAACAAGCATTATTTAAGCAACACAAACAGGGACGCCTGGGGGCTCAGAGTCTTGATTTCAGCTCAGGTCATGATCCCACGACCCTGCACCCTGAGCGTGCAGCTTGCCTGCTAGTCTCTCTCCCTCTCTCTCTGCCTCTCCCCAACCCACGTGTGCTGTTTTAAGGGTTAAATTGTAGTGTAGGGCTAATGCTTAGCTTGAAAAACAACAGCATTGTGTTGACACTGAAGGTTAAGAGATAACAGCCTTGCTTTGCTCTGGTAAACTACCCCTCATACTCTTGTAAATTAGGCTTCACCAATTAAGGAAACAAAAGTTCAAAGAAAAGAGGTCAGAGGCAGGGTCAAGGAGGTCCACTGGTTGCAACTTAGAGGCAGAAAGTCTAAAGTAAACACCTCATTAGGCAACTGTTTCTAACTCATCTGGAAACTCTTTCTTTGTTCTGTTCCCAGGTGATGATAAAACGATGTGATCGTTATAAAAACTCTGTACCCCGGCTGTTCGGGGCCGCACTCTTATTAAGAGTGTTGGTCCCGATCGGTCGGCCTTGCCTCTCATTGTAATAAACTTTGTTGTGACTGTCACTGGTGCCCGTAGCATTCTGTTTCAGGAGTCATGTGGATGCAACACTGTGTGCACACTCAAAAAAGAAACAAAAAGCAAAAAACCAAAACAAAACAAAAAACCACCAAACAAACAAAAACACAAACAGCTAGACATCCACCTTAGCTGTGTTCTAAGGAGGGGAATGGCCAATGTAAAGGCCGTGTTGGGGAACAGCATGGAGGCCAATGTGGCTGAGCAGAGTGAACACTCAGGGCCTCTGGCCGTGGCTGTGAATGAGACAGGGAAGCACAGAAGGGCTTTGAGTACAGTAAAGGGATCACTCAACTCCCCTGTAGGAACAGACCCTGGGAACTGCAAGGCTGGAAAGACAAAGATCCATCAGGAAGCGGTTGGAATAATCCAGATGAGAGCTGACCAAGGTGTGGCAGTGGAAGGAATGAGAGAGATGTAGCCAGATCCTAGATAAATTTTGATGGTAGAACCAAAAAGACTTCCTGAAGACCCGGATGTGAAATAAAGAAAAGAATCAAGGACGACTCCAAGGTGTTTTGGCGTAAGCAAGGAGAAAAATGGAGTCGCTACCATCAACCGAGAGAAGCTGGAAGGGTGAGTGAGGCCCGGAGACAGGTGAGAGGACAGATGTACAGAGCAGGGGTGTGGTGATCTGGGATGACGATCAGACAAGCAGGCAGCAGCTGGATACCCAAGCATGGAGCTCTGGGGCGAGGTCCAGTCTAGGAACTGAGCGCTGGGGTGCTGACAAGGGGAAAAAAGAGCATAAAGCAAACTGTGAAGGGGTAGGCCTGTGAGGCGAAGGAAATCCTGACGCCTTGTGGTCTCTTGAGGCCAGTGACAAAAGTGTTTCAAGGAACAGAGTCACTGGGGCGCCTGGGGGGCTCAGTCAGTTAAGCGTCCGACTCTTGATTTCGGCTCAGGTCACGGTCTCAAGGTTTGTGAAATCGAGCCCCACATCGGGCTCTATGCTGAGCATGGAGCCTGCTTGGGAATCTCTCTCTGTCCTTCCCCTGCTCGTGCTCTCAGAATAAAGAAACATTAAAGAAAAAACAGGAACAGAGAGGCATCAATCGTGTCAAAACGCCATGGAGAGCAGGAAGATGACAAGTGAGAACCGCTCCCGGGGCACAGCAACACAGAGGGAAGGAGTCTGCCTGCAGCGGGTTCAAGAGAGCGGAAAGATACGCACATCACATCGCTACTTTGGAAAGTTCTGTGGTTTCTTTTCTTTGAAGTTAAAAAGAACCAAAAAGCTACACGGCAAATGAAAAACCAGGAAAATATTTACAGCAGGTAACAAAAGGTAACAAAAAATGTTCTGCCACGGACAATTTCAAACACGTTGCAGGGGTGGTAAACACGAACCGCCCACACCCAGCCCCCGATCTCCATGCCTGCCCTGGCCCGGCTGGTGTGTCCATATTCCCCTCAGGTTCTTTGAAGCGAGAATGTCAGCCATCGTATCATTTATTAACATTCTGTACTCATCTCTAAAAGATGAACATTCTTTAAAAAAAAAACGTGAACCGAGAACAATTATGACATCTGAAAAACTTAGGAATTCCTTAATAACAAACACCCAGTTGGTGTTCACATTCTCCCGTTTTTTCCTTTTTTTAGTAATAAGCTCTATGCCCAACGTGGGGCAAGAGCTCATGACCCTGAGATCAGGAGTTGCGTGCTCCACCGACAGCCAGCAGAGGCATCCCTAATTCCCTGAGTTTCTCTTAAACCGGGACTAAGTTTTGGTGGTTTGCCCTTGCTCCCCCTAAGTCTCCCGAGTCCCTTTTAACCTCATCCTGCCACCGATGTCATGAAGAGGAGTTTTCCACCTTGGGACTGTGCAGATGGTAGCCCTGCGGTGCGGGAACACATCCCTCTGTCCCCTTATTCCTTATACACTGCTCCTCAGACCTAAAAGCTCAGGTCCACTATTTTTTTCTGGTTGTTGTTGTTGTTGTTTTTGTTTGTTTTTTTCCAAAAGAGCATGGGTATCAATTTGGAACTTCTATAAGGTCTAGGTTGTTAGCGGTCTTTCAGGATCATTGTTTAGATCCATTAATTCCCTAGGAGTTAAAAAAAAAAAAAACTGTGACAGTCTAAAATTCTTTCTTCATTTTATTAGCTGAGATAGGTCTATAAAAAAACCTTCTCATTACCTATTTGGTTACCCTGCAGTATCGTTTCCAAAAGAAAAAGGGGAAGAATGCTCGATCCCTTTCCTTATGGCTCACTCGTGTCCACTCTGTGTAACCAATGAAGACGGTCTTTTCAGGATCATTCTCAACTCATGAATTTTATGTATGTGGTATGTGTACTCATCAGCTTTACGATTATTCCTACAAAAGCTCCAACGGTCTTATCTGTGACCAGCAGAAGCCTCTTCCAAGGTGGGCCTGGAACTTCTCTGCTGCTCCCAGCAGTCTTTGCTAGCTTACTGCTTCTGTAGGCACAAGACGTTCCAGGCTCACCAGACATGTTCCTGACCTAGATACAGAATCAATGGCTACTTCAAGAAGCCCTAATTCCTTCCAGTAGGAAATGGTATTTAGTAATCGCAGTCTGGGCGCTGGGGCTCACTCCCGCCTGGCCAGTCACTGTATCTAAGCTGTTCTAGGGGACTGAGCTAGAAAAAAAAATTTTTAAAACACCAAGATCATTCTGTCTCTTCTGATCCAAATTCAGGAGTGCGGGCTCTATGCAACTACACCAATGTTATGTGTGTTTCCATTTTCCAACACCGAAAGTCCTAGTTCTTAGTGACACTAATACAATTCTTCGTTTGCTTTACCCTATAACACACACACATTCATGACTGTGCGTGTCATTATGAATATAACCTAAAAACACCAGTAGGAAATATGCCAAAATGTTAACATTAGTGAGATAAAGGATAATGAGGTTTTAATTTTTTCTTTTAATCCATTTCTACATAGCCCAGAGTTTTTATTTTTATTTTTTTAAATTTACATCCAAGTTAGTTAGCATATAGTGCAACAATGATTTCAGGAGTGGATTTCTTAATGCCCTTTACCCATTTAGACCATGCACCCTCCCACACCCCCTCCAGTAACCCTCTGTTGGTTCTCCGTATTTAAGAGTCTCTTATGTTTTGTCCTCCTCCCTGTTTTTATATTATTTTCGCTTCCCTTCCCTTATGTTCACCTGTTTTGTATCTTAAAGTCCTCCCAGATTTCTGTAACAAACAAGTATTATTGGTAATCAAAAAAGAAAAAAAAATAATCATCTTATTTTAAAACTTTGGGTTGGCTCACCAATTTCCGAGTTCCCCAAATTACTCTTTTAATGCATGCACAGAATTCTTTAAAATATATTATGTGAATCCTAACCTCAGGACCTCAAAACCCAAACACGGGTTCCCACAGCTCCCTAGACCAAACACCCACAGACCTTTCCCCACCCCCAAAATAGTAAAATTACTTACATCTCTCGCAGACATTGTTTCTTCTACGATGATCTCCATCTCTGTACCAGGCTGAACATCACTCCCCACAGTGAAAAACAGGAACAGCTAAGATCAATGAATGCGATTTAATCTAAATTTTAAAATTTTATACATGTGTTATTTTCTTCCAGAAAAGACAAGCCAACGCATGGAATTTTAATAAGAAACTCATATTGTATACAAATAAAGATGCAATTTAAACAATAATCTCAACCACCTAGAAACCTAAGACGCTCACACCATTGTTTTTACTCCTGTAGGTACTATTGTGTCAATGTTTGTCTGTCACAGGTATTATTTATTTCACTATGATCTTCACTTCTTTCTCAGTCACTCCTCAAAAGGATTTGCTACACACTGTAAGCATTAGCTGGGTTTTTTCTCTGTCATTTGGTTGTGATCTTATTTTCTGTCCAGGGAATCTGATCTGTCAGTTCATTTCCTTTCAGACTCAATCTTACTTGTCACATTCCCCCGCCACAAGCTTGTCATGCACTCCGACATGCTAAAGTTCACGGTAGGAACGAATTAAAGAGGAGGGAGCTGGGACACTAATGAAGTGGCTCCAGGAACCACAGGGATCCTGACAGGAGTCTAGCTTCCCTGGATACAGTCTTAACAGTAAGGACACTGACTTTTGGATGGTAATACAGTTTATTACAAAAGGTAGGGCTTCTCGCAAAGGTCGACCTGATATCTTACACAGAAAATGAATACTGATTAAAAAGAGACCTGCTATGAGACTATTAGACTCCTGCAGAGAGTAATTCGGGGCAAGATCAATACGCTGTTTTCATTCAATCTAAGAAGCCGTGGCGATTACTCATTACTTTCTGTACCTCTAACAAAGAAACAGTGTCAGAAGCAATCACAGACGCTACAGATTGTGGGATGGATCCTAATCTCACGGATGTCAAGATGTGGGGGGAAAAGGGCGCACTTTAGGTTCAAATAGGTGGCCACTCAACTTTAGATGCCCCCCCTTAACACACAATTTGCACAGAAAAAGAACTTGATGAATATACTCTGACAGGATATTCTTGATTTAAACACGAAGAACCATATGGATGTATGCCTAACATAAAAGGTACCACTTAAGAAAGAAACTTCTATGAAAAACAATTACTGCTGCAGTAGTTAAGGTAAGAATTATGAAATTAAGAACTTCTGGGAATGCCTGGGTGGCTCAGTCAGTTAAGTGTCCGACTTCGGCTCACGTCATGATCTCGTGGTTCCTGGGTTCGAGCCCCGCGTTGGGCTCTGTGCTGACGGTTTAGAGACTGGAGCCTGCTTCAGAGTCTGTATCTGCCTCTCTGCCCCTCCCGTGCTCGCTCGCTCTCTCTCTCTCTCTCTCTCTCAAAAACAAATAAACTTTAAAAACAGAAAAAGAACTTCTGACTCTGGGAAGGCTGATTCTGTACCTGGGAGGGAGTTGGTGCTTTCCCAGGACACAGTCCCAATGAACTGCCCATCTTCAGTTCCGCTTCCTTCACGGTGTAGCTGTCTGGCACTACAAAGAATGTGGATAACATGATGAGTGTTAGGAATTCCTACCTCTCTGGGCAAAATAACATACTGAAATCAGTATTTCTTTGCAAATCAACAGTGTCAAGAAAGAAAAAAAATGAGGTGCACTCCATGCAAAAAGATTACCTATACGATAGTTAAGTTTGATTTTCAATTTCCACACTCTAGAGTTATCTGTACAACAATGCTAAGAAATAAGAGGCAGCTATCTATGAGCCACTGTTTACATGGATTCAACGTTTATTTATTTTTGGGACAGAGAGAGACAGAGCATGAACGGGGAAGGGGCAGAGAGAGAGGGAGACACAGAATCGGAAACAGGCTCCAGGCTCTGAGCCATCAGCCCAGAGCCCGACGCGGGGCTCGAACTCACGGACCGCGAGATCGTGACCTGGCTGAAGTCAGACGCTTAACCGACTGTGCCACCCAGGCGCCCCTGTTTACACGGATTCAAAGCGAGATATTCCCCACTGATTCCTGAGTGATGGACCAGCCTCTTCCACATTTAAAGCTGCTGTAGTGACCGCCATTGATTATTTAAGTCAAATGACAAGGTGCATTACAGACGCGAGAGCAAAAACTGTTTCACAACTGCTCTCACGATACAATGAGCAACACAAATAAAACACTTTGACAATAAATCTAGAAAGATAGGACTCAATCAAAACAACAGCCTAAAATGAGGATCAGCTTATCAGAAAGGCAAGCGTTTTCCTTTAGACGACACAAGTGTCTGAATTTCTGGTTAAGATTTTCTGTAATACGTGAAGATGGCACTGGGACCATAAAATGTCCTAAAAATTAGTTTCCAAAAGGTAAATTTAAGGATGTTAAGCACTGGAAGCTATTACCGGAAGTTAAGTGTTAAGAAGGACTGATGGCACGAGTGTGCGTAGGTTCTGAAGGCTCCCGCGATTTACCTGGACAGAGAAGCTTCCCGTTTCTACCAATAGGTCTCAAACAGCTGTTCTCAGCTAAAAATAAAAAGAAGCTGGTTAGTGCACCAAACCAAACTAAGGAGAGATGCTCTACTGTGTTAATTAGCAGAAAGGTACAATGAGCTACAAGACAAAACCCCGCAAGTACAGGCAGCGTTCACTTCGCGGGAGCGAGCACCAAGGGAGTGCCGGTCAAGCTGAAACAGCGCAAAGCCAGCCTAGTAGCCATGAGGGCCACTGCAGACGTCCTGTGACCTTTCAGCACTGTCGTTAAAAAAACATTTAAAGGGGTGCCTGGGTGGCTCAGTCGGTTAAGCGTCCGACTTCGGCTCAGGTCACGATCTCACTGTTTGTGAGTTCGAGCCCCGCGTCGGGCTCTGTGCTTACTGCTCAGAACCTGGAGCCTGTTTCAGATTCTGTGTCTCCCTCTCTCTCTGACCCTCCCCTGTTCATGCTCTATCTCCCTGTCTCAAAAATAAATAAAACGTTAAAAAAATTTAAAAGAAAAAACAAA